AATGTGTACGCGTTAAAACAAAAAGTAACCTCTCCGTCCGCTTTTTCCCCTTTCTTTCTGGAGTCTTAGGCCAGAGTACAAAATTACGTATACTGGAGTTTTCTGTATTTTCCTCTTCATTCATATTTCGTGATGTATTCAAGTCTTCATTATTCTCTTCGGGTATAAAATATAATTGTTCTGAAATGCTTATCAGAGCACCACTTACTTCTATCATCTGATAATTCTCTTCACTCTAAAAATGATGATTCANCTGGAGTTTTCTGTATTTTCCTCTTCATTCATATTTCGTGATGTATTCAAGTCTTCATTATTCTCTTCGGGTATAAAATATAATTGTTCTGAAATGCTTGTCGGAGCACCACTTACTTCTATCATCTGATAATTCTCTTCACTCCAAAAATGATGATTCACATTTTCATTTATGTCGGTGGAATGGTTTATATCATATAGAATCTCGAAAGATTTGGTTGCTTCTACATTTCTTTCTGGTTATCATATCATCTGGCATTATAAAAGTAAAGATATGATTTTTATCACGTTAAATATTAATTAAATTTGCTTTAAAATGCTGTATATTTCATCTTAATATCTCAATTAGAATCTGAGATATCACACTTTGAAATTGACCATTTATTAACATAACGCGATATACCAAGATGAATTAAAAAAATCATAACATCTGGCTTTATAGGAATAAAGAACTCAATTTTAACAGGTTAAATTNTACTGGAGTTTTCTGTATTTTCCTCTTCATTCATATTTCGTGATGTATTCAAGTCTTCATTATTCTCTTCGGGTATAAAATATAATTGTTCTGAAATGCTTATCAGAGCACCACTTACTTCTATCATCTGATAATTCTCTTCACTCTAAAAATGATGATTCACGTTTTCATTTATATCGGAATGGTTTATATCATATAGAATCTCGAAAGATTCAGTTGCTTCTACATTCCTTTTCGGTTATCATATCATCTGGCTTTATAAAAGTAAAGATATGATTTTTGTCACGTTAAATATTAATCAAATTTGCTTTAAAATGGTGTATATTTCATCTTAATACCTCAATTAGATTCCGAGATATCACATTTTGAAATTGACCGTTTTTTAACATAACGAGATATACCAAGATGAATTAAAAAAATTATAACATCTGGTTTTATAGGAATAAAGAAATGATTTTGGTCACGTTAAATATTAATTAAAATTGTTTTAAAATGGTGTTTATTTCATCTTAATATCTTAATTAGATTCTGAGATATCACATTTTGAAATTGACCATTTTTTAACATAACGAGATATACCAAGATGAATTAAAAAAATCATAACATCTGGCTTTATAGGAATAAAGAACTCAATTTTAACAGGTTAAATATTAATTAAATTTGCTTTAAAATGCTGTATATTTCATCTCCATACCTTAATTAGATTCGGAGATATCACATTTTGAAATTGACTGTTTTTTAACATAATTAGATATACCAAGATGAATTTAAAAAACCATAATATCTGGTTTTATAGGAATAAAGAAATGATTTTGGTCATGATAAATGCTAATTAAATTTGCTTTAAAATGGTATATATTTCATCTTAATATCTTAATTAGATTCCGAATTATCACATTTTGAGATTGACTGTTTTTTAGCATAACGAGATATACCAAGATGAATTAAAAAAATCATAACATCTGGTTTTATAGGAATAAAGAAATGATTTTGGTCACGTTAAATATTAATTAAAATTGCTTTAAAATGGTGTTTATTTCATCTTAATATCTTAATTAGATTCTGAGATATCACATTTTGAAATTGATCGTTTTTTAACATAACTAACAGATATACCAGGATGAATTGAATAAATCCTAACATCTGGTTTTATAGGAATAAAGAAATGATTTTGGTCACGTTAAATACTAATTAAATTTGCTATAAAATGGTGTATATTTCATTTTAATATCTCAATTAGAATCTGAACACTTTGAAATTGACCATTTATTAACATAACGCGATATACCAAGATGAATTAAAAAAATCATAACATCTGGCTTTATAGGAATAAAGAACTTAATTTTAACAGGTTAAATATTAATTAAATTTGCTTTAAAATGGTGTATATTTCATCTTAATATCTTAATTAGATTCTGAGATATCACATTTTAAAATTGACCGTTTTTTAACATAACGAGATATACCAAGATGAATTAAAAAAATCATAACATCTGGTTTTATAGGAATAAAGAAATGATTTTGGTCACGTTAAATACTAATTAAATTTGCTATAAAATGGTGTATATATCATCTTAATATCTCAATTAGAATCTGAGATATCACATTTTGAAATTGACCATTTTTTAACATAACTAATAGATATACCAAGATGAATTGAATAAATCCTAACATCTGGTTTTATAGGAATAAAGAAATGATTTTGGCCATGTTAAATACTTATTAAATTTGCTTTAAAATGATGTATATTTCATCTTAATACCTCAATTAGATTCCGAGATATCACATTTTGAGGTTGAGCGTTTTTTAACATAACTAGGTATATCAAGATGTATTAAAAATATCATAACATCCGGCTTTATAGGAATTAAGAAATGATTTTGATCACGTTAAATATTAATTAAATTTGCTTTAAAATGGTGTATATTTCATCTTAATACCTCAATTAGATTCCGAGATATCACATTTTGAGGTTGAGCGTTTTTTAACATAACTAGATATATCAAGATGTATTAAAAATATCATAACATCCGGCTTTATAGGAATAAAGAAATGATTTTGGTCACGTTAAATATTAATTAAAATTGCTTTAAAATGGCATATATTTCATCTCAATACCTCAATTAGATTCCGAGATATCATATTTTGAAATTGAGCATTTTTTAACATAACTAGATATATCAAGATGTATTAAAAAAATCATAACATCCGGCTTTATAGGAATAAAGAAATGATTTTGGTCACATTAAATACTAATTAAATGTGCTTTAAAGTGGTGTATATTTCATCTTAATATCTCAATTAGAATCGGAGATATCACATTTTGAAATTGACCGTTTTTTAACATAACTAGATATACCAAGATGAATTAAAAAAATCATAACATCTGGCTTTATAGGAATAAAGAACTCAATTTTAACAGGTTAAATATTAATTAAATTTGCTTTAAAATGATGTATATTTCATCTTAATACCTTAATTAGATTCCGAGATATCACATTTTGAAATTGACCGTTTTTTAACATAACTAGATATACCAAGATGAATTAAAAAAATCATACCATCTGGCTTTATAGGAATAATGAAATGATTTTTGTCACGTTAAATATTAATTAAAATTGCTTTAAAATGGTGTTTATTTCATCTTAATATCTTAATTAGATTCTGAGATATCACATTTTGAAATTGACCTTTTTTTAACATAACTAATAGATATACCAAGATGAATTGAAAAAATCCTAACATTTGGTTTTATAGGAATAAAGAAATGATTTTGGTCACGTTAAATACTTATTAAATTTGCTTTAAGACGTTGTATATTTCATCTTAATATCTCAATTAGATTCTGAGATATCACATTTTGAAATTGACCATTTTTTAACATAACTAATAGATATACCAAGATGAATTGAAAAAATCCTAACATCTGGTTTTATAGGAATAAAGAAATGATTTTGGTCACGTTAAATACTTATTAAATTTGCTTTAAGATGGTGTATATTTCATCTTAATATCTCAATTAGATTTCGAGATATTACATTTTGAGATTGACCGTTTTTTAATATAACGAGATATACCAACATGAATTAAAAAAATCATAACATCTGGTTTTATAGGAATAAAGAAATGATTTTGGTCACGTTAAATACTAATTAAATTTGCTATAAAATGGTGTATATTTCATCTTAATATCTCAATTAGAATCTGAGATATCACATTTTGAAATTGACCATTTTTTAACATAACTAATAGATATACCAAGATGAATTGAATAAATCCTAACATCTGGTTTTATAGGAATAAAGAAATGATTTTGGCCATGATAAATACTAATTAAATTTGCTTTAAAATGATGTATATTTCATCTTAATACCTCAATTAGATTCCGAGATATCACATTTTGAAATTGACAGTTTTTTAACATAACGAGATATACAAAGATGAATTAAAAAAATCATAACATCCGGCTTTATAGGAATAAAGAAATGATTTTGATCACGTTAAATACCAATTAAATTTACTTTAAAATGGTGTATATTTCATCTTAATATCACAATTAGAGTCCGAGATATCACATTTTGAAATTGACAGTTTTTTAACATAACGAGATATACCAAGATGAATTAAAAAAATCAGAACATCTGGCTTTATAGGAATAAAGAAATGATTTTGAACACGTAAAATATTAATTAAAATTGCTTTAAAATGATGTATATTTCATCTTAATACCTCAATTAGATTCCGAGATATCACATTTTGAAATTGACCATTTTTTAAAATAACTAGATATACCAAGATGAATTAAAAAAACCATAACATCTGGCTTAATAGGAATAAAGAAATGATTTTGATCACGTTAAATATTAATTAAAATTGCTTTAAAATAGTGTATATTTCATCTTAATATCTTAATTAGATTCCGAGATATCACATTTTGAAATTGACCATTTTTTAACATAACTAGATATACCAAGATGAATTAAAAAATCATAACATCTGGCTTTACAAGAATAAAAAAATAATTTTTGTCACGTTCAATACTAATTAAATTTGCTTTAAAATGGTATATATTTCATCTTAATACTTCAATTAGATTCCGACATATCACATTTTGAATTTGAACGATTTTAACACAATTTTTCATAATTAGGCATACCGAGGTATATTAAAAAAATCATACTGTTCCAATTTATATATTACCAGGTTAAATACTAATTAAATTTCGTTTAAGACGACGAATATTTTATCTTGATATCTGAATTAGCTTCAAAGATACAATTCTTTATTTAGGTGCAAATATAATTACAATTTCATTAACATTCACTTTCTGGAATACAAATTTGAGATCCATTACCACTAAAAATAAGTCCAGGTTCGCATACACATCGTGGGACACATACTTGAATACACATTATATCATCGGGTTTTCCGCAATAATCGGGACAAGCGGATCCACAGTCTGAAAACACCTGAGTTTCAGGACATTCCCTACATTGTGCTTCAGGTACGCAAGTATTCGATTGGTAATTTTCGAATGTGTAACCATCTTCGCAATAACATCCGTAGACGCAGTCCCCTTCACAAATAATGGGTGTGCGATTACAAAAATCTTTACAAGGGGAACCACATTTGTAAACTTGATTAGGACCACATTGTGGGGGGCCGCAATTATCTTGAGCGACCACGACAACAGCTAAAAATAAAGATAATTAGATTAAGTGCAAATATTTAAATTATAAAATATATTCACCTAACGTTAAAGCAAATACAGCGATTTGAGAAACCATGATTTTGTGAAGTTTTAAACAAACTAAACGTTTTTTTAAAACCGGTTATTTATATTTATTTGTTATCTGGGTGTAAATAATCAGCAATAAATTAAGCTTAAGAATTCTTTTTTTAAAATGTTTTATGGCTGTATAAGTCAAAAAAGTAGTGATAAAACAAAATTAAGATTTATTAGCCTATTTTTAAAATTTAGCACAATTCTTTTAATTTTATTTAATTTAAGATAAGGACCAATATATAAACCGTACTGAACTATTCTTAAATATCAGTTAACTGTTTACGTGTTAACAATAAAAATGGTGAAACACATCTTAGGAATCACTTTAACAATACTTTTATGTCTGTAGCTAATTTATTAATTTTGTAATAATTCTAATACTTTCTTTAATTGAATTATAGCCGTTACATCTACTCTCCAACAATGTGCTACAAACGAATATTATTCGTTATGCGGTACAAATTGTAGGGAATATTGCCATTGGGATCCATCGGCGATCTCGTGTCTTTATGATTGCAACGGTCATTGTTTTTGTAATCCCGGATACGAGCTTGAAGCCGTCGATTCAGATACTTGTATTTTAAGTACTGAATGTGACAACGTCCCAACTTGCGGACCAAATCAACAGTATCAAGTTTGCGGAAGCAGATGCCCCGATTATTGTGGAAAAGACCCAGAAACTTCTTGTATTCAACTTTGTACTCGAGGATGTTTCTGCAAACCCGGATATATTGCTAGGACCAATCCATTAACAAGTACCTTAGATTGCATCTTAGAGGATGATTGTGTTGAGACCACCACAGCGGAAGCAAGAAAAAGGAAAAATTAATTTACGTTGATGTATAAAAATAATAAAATAATAATTTGCTCATCTAATTTCTATTTTATTTCTAATAATTTTTATAACAACAAATTTTAAACAGAACATTCACTTTCTAAAATACATTCGTTACTATCTTCGGATGCCAAAACGTATCCAGCTTTACAAAAGCATCCAGAGACACATATAGCCATTTTCGTATAACCTAAAAGTGTCAAAAAAGATGCTAATTTAAAGATTCCTGGAAGCCGTATTAATTGAAATTAAGGAATGAAATTTATTCTAAATTAAAGCTCAAAGCTTTCTCTTTAGAATGATATATAATAATCGTCGGGTTGGATTGGAAAAATATTGAGAAAAAAAATGTTGAAACAAAACTTACATTTTCGTATAACCTAAAAGTGTCAAAAAAGATGCTAATTTAAAAATTCCTGGAAGCCGTATTTATTGAAATTAAGGAATGACATTTATTCTAAATTAAAGCTCAAAGCTTTCTCTTTAGAATGATATATAATAATCGTCGAGTTGGATTGGAAAAATATTGAGAAAAAAAAAGTTTAAATAAAACTTACATTTTCGTATAACCTAAATGTGTCAAAAAAGATGCTAATTTAAAATTTCCTGGAAGCCGTATTTATTGAAATCAAGGAATGAAATTTATTCTAAATTGAAGCTCAAAGCTTTCTCTTTAAAATGATGTATAATAATTGTTGGGTTGGATTGGAAAAATATTGAGAAAAAAAAAAAGTGTCAAAAAAGATGCTAATTTAAAAATTCCTGGAAGCCGTATTTATTGAAATTAAGGAATGAAATTTATTCTAAATTAAAGCTCAAAGCTTTTTCTTTAAAATGATGTATAATAATTGTTGGGTTGGATTGAAAAAATATTGAGAAAAAAAAAGTTGAAATAAACCTTATATTTTCGTATAACCTAAAAGTGTCAAAAAAGATGCTAATTTATAAGTTCCTGCAAGCCGTATTTATTGAAATTAAGGAATAAGACTTATTCTAAATTAAAGCTCAAAGCTTTTTCTTTAAAATGATGTATAATAATTGTTGGGTTAGATTGGAAAAATATAGAGAAAAAAGAATGTTGAAATAAACTTACATTTTCGTATAACCTAAAGTGTAAAAAAAGATGCTAATTTAAAAATTCCTGGAAGCCGTATTTATTGAAATTAAGGAATAAGACTTATTCTAAATTAAAGCTCAAAGCTTTCTCTTTAAAATGATGTATAATAATTGTTGGGTTGGATTGGAAAAATATTGAGAAAAAAAATGTTGAAACAAAACTTACATTTTCGTATAACCTAAAAGTGTCAAAAAAGATGCAAATTTAAAAATTCCTGGAAGCCGTATTTATTGAAATTAAGGAATGAAGTTTATTCTATATTAAAGCTCAAAGCTTTCTCTTCAAAATGATGTATAATAATTGTTGGGTTGGATTGGAAAAATCAATTAGAGGATGATTGTGTTGAGACCACCACAGCGGAAGTAAGAAAAAGGAAAAATTAATTTATGTTAATGTATAAAAATAATAAAATAATAATTTGCTCATCTAATTTCTATTTTATTTCTAATAATTTTTATACCAACAAATTTTAAACAGAACATTCACTTTCTAAAATACATTCGTTACTATCTTCGGATGCCAAAACGTATCCAGCTTTACAAAAGCATCCAGAGACACACATAGCCGGACAAACAACATAATCGTCTTGTCCGCAATATTTGGGACAAAGACTTCCGCAAATTCTGTATTCTTTATTGGGTTCGTTGCAAGTTGGCACTCTGGAGCAACGTCCCTTAGGGATACAATTGTTCGAATCGACGGCTTCACGGACGTATCCCTTCTGGCAAAAACAATCTTGTACACATTGTAAGGTACAAATTATACTGCTTGGATCCCAATTACAATATTCGGGACAACTTGTACCACAACTTTTATAAACTTGATGAGGTGGACAAACTTTAGCAGCAAATGTAATCGAAGCTGTTACAAAAATTACAAATTAAATTAAAAGGATTTTTTAATTAAATTTAAACTTACCTAAAGCCAAAACAGAAAAAATTAGGAGTTTCGCCATTATCTCTTCTTCGCTGTTACTGCAATTCAGTTGTTGAATTAATTATTGTAAAACTGCATTAACTTCGCGTATTTATATAAAAATTTTTATCTCCCAGCTAAACAAAAACGATTTACAAGTAATCTAAATGCAAATACAGACTGTTGAGATCATAATATTGAGAGCAGGTGGAAATTTTTGATGATAACATTTTAATAAGACAAAATTAACTTGATTTACTACCTTAAACATAAACGAGCGATAATCCCAAACAAAATTTTTGATATTTCTCAATATGTTTTAGTTAGCTTTTGTTTATCTTTATCTGTTGAGTTGTAACCCATTCCCATTACAGTAGGTGAAATATATATTTGTTGTTTTAATAGTAAAATTTTAAAAATTCGCATTATCTTGGAATTTTATTTTTTACATTTAACTAGGACAAAAGTTGGTATTGAACAAAAGTAAGCTGCAATACAGCCATATCGCAGTATGGGCGACAAAAAACTTCACATGTCATGGTCAAGACACAAAAGTTTTTAATTATGAAAGCTACTATGTTAGCTACTAGTTTATGGTACATTATTTATATAGTGTTAGTAGCAATTAGTTACTTAATTACTAATTAGGTATCGAAATTCATATAAAAAATTGTTTATAACGAATTCTTTAATCGAAATTTTTTAAAAACGAAATAAAACAATTTTAGATTGCGGTAATGACGTTACGTTTTTTTTAATAATTTGTTGCTAAGTAAAAAAGAATTATTTTTTCCTTTTTTTTATTACCCAATCTGATATCTTAAGTAAATTTGAATTAAGTGGGTGCTGTATAACTTTTGATTATGAAAAGATAACAAAGTTAACAAAGGAAATGTTAATGGAACAGTTATTATTACAAAATATGTCTAAGTTTTTTTTTTAATTGCATAAAAAACAGTTAATTACAACACGATAAAACAAGTCTAATATGCCGGGAATTCTATATACCTCGCAATGTATTTCGAACTAGAAACATTCATAACTTTCTAGTTATAGGTATAGTTACCTTTTCTGTATCATGGTATCTTTGAAACACTTTCAAAAACGTCTAAATCAATTCTTTTATCCCTTTGGTCGACATTAAATATCCTAGAGATGTCATTTAATCGATTAGTATCATTTTGACACACACCAATAAACTTTTTCTACATTCTGGAGTCATTGAAACACGTCTAAATAAATAAGAATCATTTCCTTTAATTTTTCTATCAGCGTTAAGTATCATAGAGATGTTTTTAATCGATTAGAACCATTTTGACATACACCAATAAGCCTTTTCTGTACCATAGTATCAAGACACTTGGCTACTTGAATAGTTTGGGCCATTTTTTGCAAACCTAGAGTGCCGCTACTTTATTTATAAATATTATTTAGTCTATGGACATTAACAAAACTTAATGCTTGCACTACATGTATATTAACATTACACTACACAACTACATCTATACTAACCTTTATTTAACCTTATTGTCGTCAATAGTAACTATTTAGCTTATTTAAAAAAGTACAATTTAAATATTATTTTAAAGGTAGTTCAAATAATGCTTATGTTTTTTTAAAAAAAGAGCAAAAAAATAGTTTTGTTGTGAAAGAAAAATTGCTCTCATTTTCTAAATATCTAACTATTGCAGATGTTTTAGCATTATCTTTAAAATGACGCAACAATATTTTGAAACGTTTGTGAAGGTAATGTCATAAAACCAAATTTTATTATTACACATATTTAATTTCCACCAACTTTAAAATCTTTAACATTAATGTTAATTAATTACACTGTGCTGCAAGATTTTTGTACAGTTGATGAGTTGAGTGTTTTTAGTTAATTTTGGGTTGCTGATTTCAAATATGCCTTCGATTTTTCTGTAACATGCCACGTTTTTCTTTATTCAGGTGTCTTTTTAGGTGTCTGCTGCTAGACATAGGATTTTATAGGGAAACTATAGATGCAATGAATTTATTATTTGGAAACAAGTTCAAAGTTTTATTTATACATTACCTACAAAGTGAATTAGAAGCGAAGAACATATAAATCTTTCTAAATATAAAGGGGATAATGGAATACAACTTCGGATATGATAATTACATTTTCTTAGTTAACCCTTTGTGTCCCAAGAAGTAAAAAATTTTGAAACTTNTTATAAATATTATTTAGTCTATGGACATTAACAAAACTTAATGCTTGCACTACATGTATATTAACATTACACTACACAACTACATCTATACTAACCTTTATTTAACCTTATTGTCGTCAATAGTAACTATTTAGCTTATTTAAAAAAGTACAATTTAAATATTATTTTAAAGGTAGTTCAAATAATGCTTATGTTTTTTTAAAAAAAGAGCAAAAAAATAGTTTTGTTGTGAAAGAAAAATTGCTCTCATTTTCTAAATATCTAACTATTGCAGATGTTTTAGCATTATCTTTAAAATGACGCAACAATATTTTGAAACGTTTGTGAAGGTAATGTCATAAAACCAAATTTTATTATTACACATATTTAATTTCCACCAACTTTAAAATCTTTAACATTAATGTTAATTAATTACACTGTGCTGCAAGATTTTTGTACAGTTGATGAGTTGAGTGTTTTTAGTTAATTTTGGGTTGCTGATTTCAAATATGCCTTCGATTTTTCTGTAACATGCCACGTTTTTCTTTATTCAGGTGTCTTTTTAGGTGTCTGCTGCTAGACATAGGATTTTATAGGGAAACTATAGATGCAATGAATTTATTATTTGGAAACAAGTTCAAAGTTTTATTTATACATTACCTACAAAGTGAATTAGAAGCGAAGAACATATAAATCTTTCTAAATATAAAGGGGATAATGGAATACAACTTCGGATATGATAATTACATTTTCTTAGTTAACCCTTTGTGTCCCAAGAAGTAAAAAATGTTGAAACTTTGTGACAGAATTAAAACGCTATCAAAATACACTCAGTAAAGGCCTTTGGAATCAATTTTAGCAAAATATGCAATCAACCTACACTTCGCATAATTCAAAAATTTCTGGAAGCTGTGTCTATTGAAATTAAGAAATGAAACTTATTTTAAATTGAAGCTTAAAGCTTTCTGTTTAAATCGATGTATAATAATCGTTAGGTTGAATTAGAAAAATATTGAGAAAAAGAGTTGAGTTAAAACTAACATTAACAGATGTTAATTTAAAGATTCCTAGAAGCCGTATTAATTGAAATTAAGGAATGAAATTTATTCTAAATTAAAGCTCAAAGCTTTCTCTTTAGAATGATATATAATAATCGTCAGGTTGGATTGGAGAAATATTGAGAAAAAAAAGTTGAAATAAATCTTACATTTTCGTATAACCTAAAAGTGTCAAAAAAGATGCTAATTTAAAAATTCCTGGAAGCCGTATTTATTGAAATTAAGGAATGAGACTTATTCTAAATTAAAGCTCAAAGCTTTCTCTTTAAAATGATATATAATAATCATCGAGTTGGATTGGAAAAATATTGAGAAAAAAAAAGTTGAAATAAAACTTACATTTTCGTGTAACCTAAAAGTGTCAAAAAAGATACTAATTTAAAAATTCCTGGAAGCCGTATTGATTGAAATTAAGGAATGAGACTTATTCTAAATTAAAGCTTAAAGCTTTCTCTATAAAATGATGTATAATAATTGATGGGTTAGATTGGAAAAATATTAAGAAAGAAAATGTTGAAATAAAACTTACATTTTCGTATAACCTAAAAGTGTCAAAAAAGATGATAATTTAAAAGTTCCTGGAAGCCGTATTTATTGAAATTAAGGAATGAGACTTATTCTAAATTAAAGCTCAAAGCTTTCTCTTTAAAATGATGTATAATAATTGTTGGGTTAGATTCGAAAAATATAGAGAAAAAAAATGTTGAAATAAACTTACATTTTCGTCTAACCTAAAAGTGTCAAAAACGATGTTAATTTAAAAATTATACAGTTTAAAATGAGTGTTTAAAACTACCGGTACTTTAAAGTACCGTCGGGACACAAAGGGTTAAACGGAGTTATGTCTTGTACACCCATTATTTGTAATATAAAGACTACTCGTACTGTAGTACAGACTTCTTCGAGTATTAAAAAAACAAATTAAATTAGATCTTTGATAATTTTATATTTGAAAGGGAATATGTGAATGATATAAGCCGAGTAATTTTTTTAGAATCAAATTTTTATTTGCGATAAATGAATACATAAATATTTTTAGTAATCTTTATCATTTCCTTTTGTACTGTTAGCACTCAAGGACATTTTTCTGGATGGATGCATTTACCATTACAATCTCTCACTTCATCCGGTTTACAAAAACAACCCGGTACACATTGTTTTGTACAAGTTGGGTCTCTGTTTTTACAAGTTTTTGGACAATCAGTTCCACATTCCTGATATACTTCGTTTTCTTTACATTGTTCTGCACGAATTAACAATGCTAGAACAGGACAATAAGTAACTTATTGCTTATTACAATTTATTATATAACTTACCTAAACAGGAAAAAGCCATGAGCGCTATCATAAGCTTTGCCATTTTTGAAAACGTTTAACTTATGGTTTTTAATCTATATAAGTTGAGTTTCAAAGTTTATCTGAACCGATTATTATGTCCCATGAAATATATATAAATTGTTTTCATAGAAAAATTTCGAATATTCAACTAAAGTATTTTCTTAGCGTCGTTCACAATTCTTTTTAAATACTTACGATATCTTGGAATTTTTTTACGTTAACGAATAGCAAGGATAAATTTAGGAGCAGAAGCAGATATTTTAAAATATGTTTAATTTTAATGACGAAACCATGAATTATATACCAAATTAAAGTTAAAAATGTGCTCTTTCAATATATACATAGTAATTACAGGCTAATTATATATAAATTTGAAGTGAAATAAAAATTACGGATTGAAAATTGTTTACAACGAATTCCTTTCGTTCTTTAATCGACATTTTTTAAAAACAAAATAAAACAATTTTAGATTGTGATAATAACGTTATTTTTTTTAATAATTTGTTGCTAAGTAAAAAGAATTATTGTTTCTTCTTGTTCTTAATGGAACAATTATTATTACAAAATATGTACTTTTCATTATTTCATCAACTCATAAATCCAATTGCTTAGATTGCCGAAACCCTCATAACATCATTATAAAGATCTTATACAGAGAGATGGCGAAGAAACTTAACCCTTTGTGTCCCAAGAAGTAAAAAATTTTGAAACTTTGTGACAGAATTAAAACGCTATCAAAATACACTCAGTAAAGGCCTTTGGAATCAATTTTAGCAAAATATGCAATCAACCTACACTTCGCATAATTCAAAAATTTCTGGAAGCTGTGTCTATTGAAATTAAGGAATGAGACTTATTCTAAATTAAAGCTCAAAGCTTTCTCTTTAAAATGATGTATAATAATTGTTGGGTTAGATTGGAAAAATATAGAGAAAAAAAATGTTGAAATAAACTTACATTTTCGTCTAACCTAAAAGTGTCAAAAAAGATGCTAATTTAAAAGTTCCTGGAAGCCGTATTTATTGAAATTAGGGAATGAGACTTATCCTAAATGAAAGCTCAAAGCTTTCTCTTTAAAATGATGTATAATAATTGTTGGGTTAGATTGGAAAAATATAGAGAAAAAAATGTTGAAGTAAAACTTACATTTTCGTATAACCTAAAAGTGTCAAAAAAGATGCTAATTTAAAAATTCCTGGAAGCCGTATTGATTGAAATTAAGGAATGAGACTTATTTTAAATTAAAGCTCAAAGCTTTCTCTTTAAAATGATGTATAATAATTGTTGGGTTGGATTGGAAAAATATTGAGAAAAAAAAAGTTGAAATAAAACTTACATTTTCGTATAACCTAAAAGTGTCAAAAAAGATGCTAATTTAAAAATTCTACAGTTTAAAATGAGTGTTTAAAACTACCGGTACTTTAAAGTACCGTCGGGACTCAAAGGGTTAAAATGCTATAAATATCCTTTTGGAAACAACTCATATGATAGAGGAAAAGCGGAGTAGTTTGGATAGTTCCACTGATTCCGAGGAAAAGCATGAGTATAGTTAAGTGTTAATACAAAGCCACTCAAGAAAGATTTAATGCCATTGATGTTAGTGTCAATAAAAGCCCTTAGCCATTTAGCACAACGGTTGTTGAAAACTGTAAGCAACATTTTTAAACCTTTAAGGTTTATGCAACTTTTGACACTTGAAACATAAATTTAAATGCAATCTGTAATCGATTGAACTTCTTTTTGCATTCAAAACTACACTAACCTTTATTTGAATTTATTGTCGTCTATTTAACTTATTTAAAAAAATACACATTAAATATTGCTAGTTCCAATGTTTGTTTTGCTAAAAAAAGAGCAAATCCTCCCATTTTCTAAATATCTAACAATTGCAGATGTTTTAGTAATATCTGTAAAATGACGCAAATTATTTTGAAAATTAATTTTATTATTAGGTACAAATATTTAATTTCCATCAACTTTCAAATCTTTAACATTAATGTTAATGAATTAAAATTAATAAGTTTAGAATGTGAAAGATGTAAGCCGAGTAAGTTTTTTAAAATCAAATTTTTATTTGCGATAAATTATTACATAAATATTTTTAGTAATCTTTATCATTTCCGGTTGTAGAGTTACCACTCAAGCGCAATTATCTAGAGTGACGCATTTACCATTAGTTTCTCTTATCAAACCAGGTTTGCAAAAACAACCCGCTACACATTGAAATGTACAGAAAACAGATAGATATTCACAAGTTGGCTCACAAGCAGTTCCACAGTACAAATATACTTCGTCTTCTGCACATAATTCTGCACGAATTAACAATGCTGGAATAAGACAAAAATTTACTTATTGCTTATTACAATTTATTATATAACTTACCTAAACAAGAAAAAATCATGAGCGCTATCATAAGCTTTGCCATTTTTGAAAACGCTTAACTTATTGTTTTTAGTCTATACAAGTTGAGTCTGAACCGATTATTATGTTCCATGTAATATATATAAATTCTTTTAATAGAAAAATTTCAAAAATTCAATTAAAGCATTTTCTTAGCAGCATTTACTATTGTTTTTTAAAATACTTACGATATCTTAGAATTTTGTTATGTTAACGAATAGCAAAGTTAAATTTAAAAGCAGAATAAGAAATTTTAAAATATTGTTAATTTTAATGACAAAACCATGAATCTTTCAAAAAATCGATAAATTATGTAAAAATAGAAAGATTTAATATTAAAATTCAAAATCAACTCTATAAAAGCTTTGGTGACGTTTACAAAGTTTTCGTGTAACATCAAGAATTATAGATTATTATTTATAGAAGTCTTCAATTTTGCTAAATTATCGAAAAAGCCAATAAAACTACTTTTTAATATGAATTTGGAGCAATCTTTATGCGCAGCAAGATAATTACATTTTCAAATATTAAAAAAACCTGTTAAATTAGATCCTTAATAAGTTTATATTTGAAAGAGAATATGTGAATGATGTAAGCCAAGTAAGATTTTTAAAATCAAATTTTTATTTGCGATAAATGAATACGTACACAATCTTTATCATTTCGTTTTGTACAGTTAGCTCTCAAGGACATTTTTCTGGATGGATGCATTTACCATTTGAATCTTTTACAAAACCAGATTTGCAAAAACAACCCTTTATACATTGCATTGTACACATAGATGGTTGACTAGTACAAGTTGGCGGACAAGCACTTCCACATTCCTGATATACTTCGTTTTCTTGACATGAATCTGCACGATTTAATAAGGCTAGAACAAGACAAAAATTAACTTATTGCTTATTACAACTTATAATATAACTTACCAAAAAAAGAAAAAACCATGAGCGCTATCATAAGCTTTGCCATTTTGGAAAACGTTTAACTTATGGTTTTTAGTCTATATAAGTTGAGTTTTAACCTTTATCTGAACCGATTATGAAATCCCATGAAATATATATAAATTGTTTTAGTAGAAAAATTTCAAAAATTCAACTAAAGTATTTTCTTAGCATCGTTTATAATTTTTTTAAATACTTACGATATCTTGGAATTTTGTTACGTTAACAAATAGCAAAGTTAACCCTTTGTGTCCCAAGAAGTAAAAAATTTTGAAACTTTGTGACAGAATTAAAACGCTATCAAAATACAAAAAAATTTCTGGAAGCCGTGTCTATTGCAATTAAGAAATGAAACTTATTTTAAATTGAAGCTTAAAGCTTTCTGTTTAAATCGATGTATAATAATCGTTGGGTTAAATTAGAAAAATATTGAGAAAAAGAGTATTGAGTTAAAACTAACATTTTCGTATAACCTAAAAGTGTTAAAAAAGATGCTAATTTAAAGATTCCTGGAAGCCGTATTAATTGAAATTAAGGAATGAAATTTATTCTAAATTAAAGCTCAAAGCTTTCTCTTTAGAATGATATATAATAATCGTCGGGTTGGATTGGAAAAATATTGAGAAAAAAAATGTTGAAATAAAACTTACATTTTCGTATAACCTAAAAGTGTCAAAAAAGATGCTAATTTAAAAATTCCTGGAAGCCGTATTGATTGAAATTAAGGACTGAGACTTATTTTAAATTAAAGCTCAAAGCTTTCCTTTTAAAATGATGTATAATAATTGATGGGTTGGATTGGAAAAATATTAAGAAAAAAAATGTTGAAACAACACTTACATTTTCGTATAACTTAAAAGTGTCAAATAAGATGCTAATTTAAAAATTTTACAGTTTAAAATGAGTGTTTAAAACTACCGATACTTTAAAGTACCGTCGGGACACAAAGGGTTAAATGGTAGAATTGTTAATGTAAAAATAGATATACAGAATGTCCCCGGATCGAGTTACAAAGAGGAAAAAAATATTTGTTACTGATTTTTTAAACTTATCTTAGCATAAATAATGCGCCGGATATGTTCAAACTACTAAGGCCCGTTACTACCAAACCAATGCTATCTGTCAGTTAAGACAATTTATCTCGTAGATAACAGGGTCGTGCGTACTACCACCTCCATTTATCTCATACTTAAGAAATCCTTGAGATAGCCAAGGAATATAGGGATTTTTTGGTCTATTATGTTAAACTGACAAATCTATGTGCTCAAAAGACATACTATTAGGTATTTTGACGATATTCTAACCTGTTCAAATCTTTAAATTAAAATTTGGAAATGGAAATGGAATCTTCTTGAATTTATTATCAAACATAAAAACGTAATAGAAAACAAAAAAAGTGATGCAGTTACATGGCAAGGAAAGCAGAAAGTATGTATATCTCGTATTATTGTATGTTAAAATGTGATGGTAAACAATAATGGCACAACTAACATGATGAACGACTGAAGATGCCAATTGTACACTCACTCCTGCAAAATCTGCTATGGATAGCAACATGTTACCTATTGCATAAAACCGAAGAGTCAGCAACAAACGGTTTGAAGGAGGTACAGTCGTGTTCACTGGAAATGCGCACTCAAGGTCAAGCGCTGTTGTGAGACCCGACATGCCGCTGGCTAAACGAGCTGAGCCGAGCGCACACGAAGCTCGTGGAGAAG